GGATCACAAGTTTAAGGCTAGCCTCCAAAACTTAGTGAGGCCCTAAGCAACTTAGTGAGAATCTGTTTGCTCCTCAATCCAATCCCCAGTATCCCCAAAAAAAAAAAAAAAAAAAAAGAAGAATCCCCACAGTCCTACTACTCGGCTATGCATGACCCATATTTCAATGTGTATTCTTCTGAATTTTACAACTTTACTTGATGAATACCCATTAGTTTCCATTTATAAGATTCTAAAAATTTATGTGGTTTTTTTTTTCTTTTCTCTTTTTTTTTTTTTTAAAGGGAGCATGTATGAAACTATTACATCTTTCCAGGCAATTAAAGTTAAAAACCAAACTAAAAAAGGAAGATACAATTAAGTATTAGAAGAAGAAATATAAAAAGGAACTAACATACAAAATGCATTAAAAAAAAAAAAAAGGAGACAAGCCACATAAAGTACATTATAATTCAAAACAAATACAGAAGAGAAAATCTGCCAAGGGAGATGGCCAAAAGCCAAGATCCAGTAAGAAATGAAAGCTTGTTTTTCATTCCAAAGGGAACATGTGGCAATGTTTTTCCACTTCAACAAACATTATATAACCTGGAGCTGTAGATGTGGGAGAGCTTGTGTGAGGCCCAGGCTTCAATCCCCAGCACCAAAAAGAAAAGTTAAACCTAATGTTGCACCAAATTTAACTACAAAGAACCCTTGGAGCAATGTGTGAGGAGCCTTCTGGAGAGGAATACATTAATACACACCTTTATTATCTTGGCAGAGGGGAATATATTAATACACACCCTTATTATCTTGGCAGCCTCCAAGAGGATTCGGCACCGCTCCAAGCCAGATTTCTTACTCCATAGTTTAAAAGCAGCCTTTGCATTTTGAACAGCCAAATCTACTTCCTTTTCACCGGAACATGTGAAAGTAGCTATTATTCGGCCTATAAAAAAGGGGAAAGTCAGCTTCATCTCAAATTGTTGCAACATATTTAAATAAAATTGTGTATTAATGTGTTTTTCGGGATCCCCTTCCTGTTTTTAAGTATGGTATGATTTAGTGACCACTGCTCTACAAGTAGTTTTTTTTGTTGTTGTTTTTTTTTTTTTTTTTGGTAGTCATTGACCCCTTTGGAATCTAATAAAAGTTGCAGACCTCTCTCCAGAAAAAAGCACTTAACCACATTTCAGACTGAGAAAGATCATGTCCCTTGTTGTAAACTAACCATGTTTGGGCTGATAACCCCTGTCCTGTATTCAGAGTTGAGTTCACTAACATTAACTTTCTAAAAAATCGTGCAACTCTCCTTACTACTTCTCACAATGCGGGGGACGGGGGAGTTGTAGCTCACGGGTAGAGCTCTTGCCTAGCACATGTGAGGCACTAGGTTCCATCCCCAGCACAACACAAAATAAAATAATTTTTAAAAAATAAGAATCTCAGGGTCTTGCGAAATCAGAATTGAAAGGAATCAGTCTTCTGGATGTAAACTTTCAAATCCCTTTCTATTCTCTAACTCAGTCCTACCACTGACACTGGATAAATATGGTTAATAAGCAGCAATATCAGAAAAAGACATTACTAAAAGCAAGAAATGTTTTTCCCCAAAAAGAAAACAGTCTTTCTTACTCCAACTTTATTCCCTATCCCTATCTGGGGCAAAATACGAAAAAAAAAAAAACAAAATCAATTTCTTTAGACCCGTAGCCCAAGGATTGTAACCAAATCCAACTAAATCAACAAAAATTCTTTAAGAATAGCAACTCAGCATTTCCTTTTCACGAGAATTCCTGGGACTCGGCTTTTTCCGGAGATATTAAAGCCTGCAATGTCTGTAACACCCTTGAGCAGCTGTCCCGCAAAGGCAGCGAGGCAGACTGCAGATCAGGTCCCTGTTCGTCCCCTCGCTGGGCCCGAGGGGCGGAGCCATGCTCCCGCCCAGCCCCTCGGCCAGCGGCCTCACGGCTCCGCCACCCCTGGCCCTGGCCCTCGGTCCCTTGCCCCCTGCCCCAGCACTCCCTGAGCACCCGGCCTGCCTGCCCGCGGCTCTGCCCGCGCGCCGCCGGTGCAGAGGAGGGCGGCCGCGGGCCCGGCCGGCTCTGCGGGGCGCCGCCCCAGGGTGACCGCCGCGCGTTACCGGTGGCGGGCTCGAAGGCCGTCTCGGTGCCGGAGGCGTCCACCGGCTCCACGCGGGCCCCGCCGCGATAGTTGAGGGGCTGCGACACTGTGAAGGTGCCAGTGCTCATGGCGGCGACGCAAGCAGGCCGAGGGGCGCGGAGCAGCGTGGGCAGCGCGGCTAGCAGGGCTCGGGGGACCATCTGTCTGCGCGGAGGTGGGCGCCCGGCCGGGGGCGGGGCGGGGCCTGCGGGGCGTGTCGCACGCTCTGGGCGTGGCCGGGGGCGGGTGGTGTGAGAGAGAGGCCTGATTGGCGAGTCGTAGCCTGCGGGGCGGGGAAGAGGGCGGGGCTTAGGCGGGGCCTCACTGCCGCGGGGTCAGGGGCGGACGGGTCCCAGGAAGAGCGGCGGGCGGGGGCAGAGAGGGCGGGACCGGGGGAGAGGAGGCCCCCTAGAGGGCGGGGCCGCGGAAGACTGGTTCCTGGGAGGGCGGCAGGTCCCAGGGGCCGGGGCGCTGGGGAGGCGCTGGCCTGGGCACAAAAAGTGGGCGGTGGAGCAGGGCCGCGTGGCGTGGTGAGAGATCGCGGCCTCGGGGGGCGGAGCTAGGACACTGGGGGGTCGAGGTCCTGCCCCCACTGCACCAGGAGGGTGGAGCTGCACATTCGGTCCTCCACCCCCAACCCCAACGGCTGAGGGGACACCCTTTTCCTGGTCCGTATTTGCATAGCACTTTTGTGTGTGTGTATGTGCGTGCGGCCCGGAGGTCCCAGAGCCTCCAAGCATGCTAGACCCAGGCTACACACAGCCCCGCAGGACACCGTCAAAGCATTTTTGAAGCGTGTCATCGCATGCAGTCATCCCAGGATCTCACTCTTGATCTTATCGCCCAGAGAAGGCAGAAGATTGGCCTGCCAGGGGTCCTACTTTAGTCTTTATTTCACCCTTAACCTGTTCTGTCCCGTCGACCAGATGGGGAACACCAATAGAAAACTTAAATTTAGTATATCATCTATAATAATAAAATTAAATAATTGTAATGTATACAAGCTCTAGATTATGGCGTCCAACCTGTCTTAATGCTCCTGCATCAATTTCACTGAAGTATTCCCAGATTTGAAAATTTGGGACTTGGGGTTTTTTAAAACGTATAATACTTGTTTAAGCATTACTGTGAAGGCCAGCGAAGGGGCTGCCAGGGAGATACACGGAACTTTTAAACTCTAAAAGCAATGTAAACGCTGATGGTGACAAACAGTGACACAAACAAGCCTGGTGTACAGGGCACAAAGGGCGAAGGCCACATGTAAAGAAAGGTGTGGGTGAGGGAAATCTTCCACCTGCTGCCCCGGCTCACCCAGGTCTCGGACAGCAAGGGGATTTGCACAAAGGCAGTCTTGTGCATCCTTACTCAGCTCTGTGCACCTGCCTAGAGACCTTCACGAAGAGAAATCAGTCCATGATGTGTGTGAGTGTGGACGTTCTCCTGCAGCTTGTTTCTCCTCCAGAGGATGCAGAGTCGTGGTAGTCTCTTCTTCTTCTTCTTCTTCTTCTTCTTCTTCTTCTTCTTCTTCTTCTTCTTCTTCTTCTTCTTCTCCTTCTCCTTCTCCTTCTCCTTCTCCTTCTCCTTCTCCTTCTCCTTCTCCTTCTCCTTCTCCTCCTTCTCCTTCGTCTTCTTCTTCTTCTTCTTCTTCTTCTTCTTCTTCTTCTTCTTCTTCTTCT